GAAGAAGAAGAAGAAGAAGAAGAAGAAGAAGAAGAAGAAGAAGAAGAAGAAGAAGAAGAAGAAGAAGAAGAAGAAGAAGAAGAAGAAGAGACATATGAAGAAAGAAGACCGTGGGCAGTGAAAGGAGCTGAGTATGGAAACAAGCAACAAGAGTATCTGTAAAATGAAAAGAGCTAGGACCACATCTAAGGGCTCTGAAACAGAAAGTGTGGAACCCCAAGAGCAAACCAATAAAAGGGAAAAGTGACACAAAGCCTAGTCACTGGCTTATCTGATGAGAGACCCATGAAGAAAAAAAGAAGCAGCTCCACAGATGCTGAAAGTCTGGCTCCGAAGTCAAAAGTTAAGAGAACAGCTCATGAAAACATTAAAAGAGGCTTCTGAAGTTCCAAAAGAGAAAAGAAATTTAGAATTCTCTACAGAAGAGGAAAGTATTAGAGTCCTCAAAGGACACTCTCTGTTAAAAACTAAGATGAATGGGGCCAGGGAGATACTTCAGTAGAATAGGAGTTTGCCTGGCAAGTGCAAAGTCCTGAGTTCAATCCCCAGTACCACAAAAAAACCTGAAAGACACGTAAGAAAAAACATAAAGACATAAAATGGGCAAAGAAGTCATACCTTTACAGGTCCTATCCAATCACACATGGATGGATCTAAAAAAGGAGTATTTGGCACTGCACAAAGCCAGCAAGCCAGCATGGCTACTTTAAAAAAGACAATATCCCCAATAAAATCAGAATCAGAAATAGAAAGAGACAAGTGCCTAGTAGGGCTGTAGTGAAGAATGAAGAAGCCCATGGTCCAGAGCAGCATCCTGAGGAGAAGGTGAGCCTCCCCCCCCCCCAGGGCACACTTTGTGAGTGGAATCGTCATAAAGATCAATAGCCCAGGACTTCTGCCTAGCCAGAAACAAGTCCAGGTTATGTTGGTGGCAATCTCATAAGTTGTATATGTTGACCTACTAGAAGGAGACACAGAATGTCATGCTAGATTTCCACCCCAGAGGCAGCCCTGGCACTAATGAGTGTCCACACTGAAATTAAAAAGAAGTACAGCTGGAAACTCGAGGTCCTTTCTGATGAATGTGAACAAAGATATTGGCAGAAGATTCTGTAGATAGACAAGCCAAGCTCAGTCAGCTGCCAGACAAGAAGAGAAGCACTGAGAAGTTAATGAACAAGGCTGAAAAGATTACCACAACACACAACAAGCAAGTAAACAAGCAAGTAAACACATTTGCTTTTCCAAATATGACTGAACAGTGGGGCTCACCTATGTGTCACTGTGCCCTGGATATTGTTTGATTACAGTAGCACCATAATGAATGTTTTATAAGATCTATACTTAAGAAAAGGAAATACTTTAGCTCCTCAGCTTTTAGTTAAGACTTTTTTAGCAATGACTGTATTGTATACCACAGTTTTTAGGTAAAAATTTCTTTGTTAAAAAAAAAGAAAGAGAGTGCCTCCCCCACCCCGCCCACCGAGTAGGATTTTCTGCTGAGTTCCAGGAGCCCCCAGACCCAGTCCTAGCCCAGGTCCGGTGAGTGTGCGGAGAGTTTCCTGCTACCCTGCGCC